TTGTACAGATAGTTTATTGGACTAACGTTTCGGCGAACATCGCCTTCTTCGGAGCCTGCAAGTCGAAACCTATCATCGAAACAAGTCACTCAATCACCATTTCTAACTACAGTAAAAACGGGCTAGGAGATCTTAGAACTAAGTCGTAAAGCCACTAACCTTTTTGACGGGTAGAAGTTCTACCGGGCACTCTGAGTTGTGGCTCTTTTGACTTTTCCTGCCAAACAGCGTCCTGTGGCTCTTTATTACTGTACTTTCAGATTTCCCAAAGCGGGTAGTGCCTATACTTATGCATATGTGGGCGTTGGCGAGCTATGGGCTTTTATCATCGGCTGGAATATCGTGCTGGAGCACATGTTGGGAGCTGCTGGTAAGAATTTCTTGTATAAACTACTTTGGAGCAAGTTCTCTGAAACAGTCACATTTCAGCCGTAGCTCGATCATGGTCTGGATATTTGGATTCTCTGCTGAGCAACGTCATCTCCAACACAACCATTGAACGAGTTGGTCGAATCGAGGTGCGGCAATGAGTTTTCTAACTGAAAACATAAGGCGCTATTTGGCTTGGGAGGGGCATTTTGCACCTTTTGCTCTGCTTTCATTCTCATGTCTCATTTTGGTAAAAACTAAAAACTCCTGCAAAGAAAAAAGGTCCAAGTGAGTCACGTTGTTTACAGAATTAACAGTTCTTTCAAGGTGGCCAGTGCAGGCTTCAATGAATACCGTTGCTTGCGCCCCTCCCAACCGAACTGCGCCCGTGAACAAAACATCACTCAATACTTCTTTCAGAGCTCATCGTTTTTCGGTGACTATCCAGATATTGTCGCTTTCCTGCTGATTGTCGTCGTTGCCATCTTTGTCGCTCTTGGTTCGAAAGTCTCCACAAACTTCAATTCAGTCTTCACCATTGTAAACATGGGTGTGAGTCTTTCGGCATAAACTTGACTTTTTCCAAAACGAGAAGAAGATTTTGCTCCCTCGCAATATTTTTAGGGTCAGGTTGAAATTATTATGTTGATTTGATTAGGTTATCTACCTTGTTCCCAAGCTTGCAACTTGAGACTGCATCAAGCGTAACAGAAAGTATAACCACTAGCGATAGTCTGGGACCAGGGCATATTGTTGTGAAATCCCCCACAGAAAAATCATATTTAGTCTTCAAGAGGGACGCCATATTTGGCTGGATTTTTTAGGTCGATGACTTTAGTGTGCTACAGTCTCATTCGCTGAGGATGCTGAGACTTCTCGGGGGCTAGATCTGGTGCTTCGTGAGTCCGTTTCCCACCAGTTGTAGTCGCTTACCACGCTTGAATGATTGTTGAAGAACGGGCCGGTGCCGCCCCAACTCTGCCGCCTGACACGCCCCAGCAGCTGCAGTGAACATCTTTGTAATACCTCCCTGTAGGGTTTTACTCACTTTTATTATTCCTGGTGTAGAATAGAGGCCCAGTTCCCTATCCCCAACCCCCTCGATGGAATTCGAGGGAGGAGGGGCAGATAAGGGTTACACTCTAGTTCTAGTCTCTAGTTTCCGGAAAGATATGTCCACTGTGGAGCAAAACCGATGGAATTTCAGGTGATAGTGCTGGTTGTCGGATACGGCATTACATTTGCGGACTTCTCTCTATGGAGCGGCACCAATGAAGAGGGCGTTTCAAAGTGAGAATAATTTTGTTTTGTAACAATTTCATTGTGAATATTCTGAAAATGCCTCCTGACATAGGAGCATTCAAGTCGGGACATGCGTTGTGCAGCTGTGCTTCTTTCATTTGTGCAATAACATTGTACAAAATTCCACCTATGTAAAATTCCTTCAAAAAATTTCATTTCAAAATTCAATTAGAAATACTCTCTTTTGGGAGATGGAAGGGTCTTGATTGCCTTGAGAAAGTAGTCCGTGAACAAATGGTAAGTTATTCATAGGTCAGCCCAATTAACTACAAGCGAACCGCCAGGCGAGCCAATACGCATGAAAAACAAGTTTGTTGTCGCTAAAGCTGAGATGGGTACCTATTGGAATGGAATTTTGACAGTGTTCACTTAGGACAAAAAGAATAAAGTCACAAAGAATACAGGTTTTCGACAGGGGGTAATTACCGAGATTCTTCTAAGCTTACTGCAGGCGCCGCATGTTTATGCGCCGACGCGTTTCTACTACGAAGTACGGATGAATATATTCATGTTGCGGTGATGCCCACAACTACCTAACTAGTACTAATTAGTTGACTCAATATGCTGCAGTGAACCATGTTGAGCAGAGTAGGTTTTAGTGTGAATAACGCGCACGTATCGCTGTTTGTCGCGCCGTCTTCGTCATCTCGTCCAGCGCAGACGTAGGGGCCCACGAATGTGTGGTATGATGCAGTACCAGTACTCCTCCCAAGACCCTTGAAATGGACAAACCTTTGTTAAATAATCCGAAGGAAGTAAGCCTTTAATGGGCGTTTTTGAGAATGTGATCTATATTACGAACTCGTGTGTTGGATAGGAGTCAGTGCTTCGCACTCGAAATCCCCGAGATGTGGTAGGCGTGGCTGCGTGGCGGTATCAATTTCGGTGAGATATTTCCATTTGGACACATTCTGGTCATGTCTCTGTCTAACACTGAACAAGATCGCAGTTTTCTCGAATTGAAATATCCCACGATACTCCGTCTTAGGGATAAGGAGTTTACTGTCTTGGTCTTATCTTCTGCTGCCGCTTTAACAACAGAAAGATTAATCTAATGATGAAAACCAAGAACAACTAATACACATTACATTACACTGCATTGCACTGGTATACAACCCCTTGAATCATTTGAAAAGGGTAACTCGATCTTGCAACAAAACGGCAAAGTCTGAGTTTCTGTCAGTGGATGTACAGTCCTCATCATTGCGGACCGGTGGGGCGTGTCAGCCAGTATGAGTGTGCACACTGTTGAAGCCGTTCTCAGCCTTTTTGTTGAAACGCGTATGCGACAAAAAGTGGTAGAAAACGAGTAATACGAAGGATATAATACAGTAATGTCACTTGCCCGCTTCAACAACTGGTGCAGAACGACTTTGGCACCGCGCCAAACGCAGCCGCACTGACACGCCCCCGGTCCGCAATGATGAGGACTGTATATCATATCGGAGCAGTCTAATACTATTTTCTCCGACTGTTCCCAAAATCTCAATTGAACATGGCTGGACAGTTGGAAAAATAGACTGAACGGTGACCATCCAAGGTCCCTACGCAAAAGCGATAAGTTACATAGCGCTACTTTGTTTTATTTAGTTGCGACCGTACTCTTCTACCAACACCTTTTTGCCTACGCAAGAGTTTATTAATTAAGCTTCAGTGGAATTTTCCATGAGCTATGAGAGCTGCACTGCACTTTTAAATTGAAAATTTCTCCCCCTTGCAATTCATTTTCTCATCCACGTCAAGTGTGGCAGATGCGCTGCATTGTCAAGGGATTCCTACTTGGCTGTGATATCGGTAGTTCTCGCCCACATTTTCTTTTCTAGATAGCGTTTACTCCTGTTGAAACGAAGGAAGCCAACGAGTACACATCCAGGACGTCACTATGTTAATATCCGTATTTTCCCAGCTATCTTCCCGCTTACGAGCGGTCCGTCAATGGTATGTTGGCAGGTGCGGCGTCTTGTTTCTTCGCCTATATCGGTTTCGATGGCCTTGCCACCGCAGGAGAAGAAGCAAAAAGTAAGCATAGTCATGAAAAACACAGTATTTCCCAATCATGAGAACCGTCAATGACGTGATTAATTGTTTTACTTTTGCCAGAGGAGGCTATTTGATAGAATCCTTTAATCGGTCGAATTTTTCGACCTTCTCGTCGTTTGAGAAGCATGAAAGTGGCTCGGAGCTCTTTAATTGCAAGCTATCCGACCATGCGCCCTTTCTTATAGCCACTTTGAAGCCTTTGAAGAAGAAAAATCGGTTGAAAGCTCCGGACAAATAAACGATTCCGCCTAACCATCAGAACCTCGTTTGTCAGAAGGTAAATATGGTACGACATGATGCCGGGATTTCGAAAAGGGACACTGTGGACGTCAGTAAATTTGAGCTGTGAAAATCCTCATGACATAGTATAACAAGGATGGCATAGTGACAAACTACGCGCTTGCTAGGTGCACGATGCAGGAGTCAAAGTCCGAAACAAGTCTCGTTAAAGGTAAGGCCCGCGATCATTCGCCATCACAGATAGTGGGTTAGGGGCACGCATATAGACGACGGGGTGCTGAGTAACTGGATAGTGAAGAAAAAACAGGAAGAAGCTTGCAACTGCCCCATAGGACCCTATTCCGATCCCAGTTTGTACGTACACAATTAACTCCATCTCCAAGACTACGCCTCCATCCGCACAGCTGATTCCTCGATAAGAACTCTACGACCGTACAAGTGACGATCATGCTTTTTCGTCCTGCAGCTTCGTTTTTCACTGAAAGGCGGGCCTTGAAGGCGGAGTCTGGAGGCGGAGTCACTGGAAAAAGGAGGCGTCACTGAACCTATATTGCGCTATAGCGCCCCTCCCTTACAATTTTTTGCCGCGAAACCGGTACAAGGTTGTTCGTCGCGGACCACACTACCTGACGCCATATTTTCAACTTCTATACCTGATCGCGGACCGTGCCTTATAAGGCAAAGGATGAGTTCCATTTTTTGAGATTTGTTACTTAATACCAGATTCGTTTGGGATCATGAAGAGTACTGTCGTGTACATAGGCTGACCCGGCACAACAGTATAGGCCATATCGCCTCCGAAACGGCTCTACGACTCTGAGTAGACTTAGAATAATCGGTCTACCTCTAGAGCGTTTGATAAAACATAGATACTGTCCTTTCTTCAAATGTTTCCCCACAGCGATCTGAACCCCTCATCCGCTGGTATGCAGTAGCTACACTTACAAGAGCCCTCCTCGAAGTATTGACTT